TGCCATCACTGTACTGTACTACTGTAAATATGGTATTATGTACAGTATACTCAGTGATGGCAGAGTTTGCTCTGCTCAAAGTCAAGGACAGGGTCTGGTTTTAACCAGGCTAAGGGTGTCCTGGTGCCACGTGCACTTGTGGACGCCCTTGTGTTGGAACATGGTGTTTGTGATGGACAAACTGTGACCAACACAGAAGTCCAACAATAGAACACCGCTCAGGTTCAGATCAGAGAGGGAGTTCCTCCCAATCACACCTCTTCAGGTCACACTGTCATTACCCACGTGGGAGTTGAAATCCCCCTGCAGAATGAAGGAATCTGCATCTGAAGCACCTTCCAGCACCCTCAGCAGAGATTCCAAGAAGGCTGGATCTCAGAACTGCTGTTTGGCACATAGGCACAAACAACTGCCAGAGTCTACCTACCCCCCACCCCCAACACACACACACACAAGTGCAGGAAGGCTATCCTATCATCTACTGTGGAGCATTCCAGCTGACAGACAAAAAGTTGGGGGCCAAAAGTAGACCCACACCAGCTCTGTGCCTCTCACCACYGCTAACTCCAGAGTAGAATAAAGTCCAGCCCCTCTTGAGGAGATGGGTTCTGGWGTCCATGCTGTGCATTGAGGTGAGCCCCACTATACCAAGCTGGTACCTCTCAACCTRACACACAAGCTCAGGCTCCTACCCCACCAGAGAGGTCGCATTCCACGTCCCAAGAGCCAGCTCTGGAAGAACAGGGTCAGAGCTCCAAGGTCCCCATCTTTGCCCACTGCCCATGGCATCATGCACCTGACTCATACAGCCCCTCCTGCAGGTGGTGGGCCCACAGGAAGGCAAACCCATGTAACTCATTCGGGCTGAGCCTGACCTGGCCACATGGGCAGAGAACTGGCTACCAGTTGCTTATTGACAAGCCCCTCCCCCAGACCTGGATTTAGGGTGGGGGCCCAGTAACAAAGGTCCAGGCAAGGGACACTGAGTTCTTTGATTCTTTTTGTCCATATGAGGGTTTTGAACTGCTCCTTGTCTGGCCTGTCACCTAGGACCAATCCGCCATGGGAGACCCTACCAGGGGCTTTATTTGCCTCCAACAGCATAGCTCCTGGCATCATTAAGGCACACAAACTCCTCATCCATGATAAGGTCATGATTCACTGGGGGAGTGCAGCTGGTTCCAGATTGACTAAACTCCTGCTGTTCAAAAACTGGTCCCACTGACGCTGATACATGTCTGCACCTGGATCTGAAGCCCCTCCCCCATCCTTACCCAGATCTGCAGCTTGATCCTCTTGTCGTTGCGATACACCGTCTTCACCTTGAAGTCAATGCCGACAGTGCTGACAAAGGAGTTGCTGAAGGAATCATCAGCGTAGCGAAACAGGAAGGACGTTTTCCCAACGCTGCTGTTACCGATGATCAGCAACTTGAACATGTAGTCAAAGTTCTGGTCCGAACCGTCCCGCTGGCCATAACGCTGGTCTGCCTTCGCCATCTGGTGGTCAGTGGGAGGAAGAGGAGACTGTTACTGACAAGGTCTGACTCTCCAGGTCACTAATAACCAGGTCATTAATAACCAGGTCACTAATAACCAGGTCATTAATAACCAGATCATTAATAACCAGGTCACTAATAACCAGGTCACTAATAACCAGGTCACTAATAACCAGGTCATTAATAACCAGGTCATTAATAACCAGGTCACTAATAACCAGGTCACTAATAAACAAAGTAATTATAACCAGGTCATTAATAACCAGGTCATCAATTACCAGGTCACTAATAACCAGATCATTAATAACCAGGTCATTAATAAACAAAGTAATTATAACCAGGTCACTAATAACCAGGTCATTAATAACCAGGTCACTAATAACCAGGTCATTAATAACCAGAGTAATTATAACCAGGTCATTAATAACCAGGTCATTAATAACCAGGTCATTAATAACCAGATCATTAATAAACAAAGTAATTATAACCAGGTCATTAATAACCAGG